GTATAGGTCTTTCACTTCCTTGGTTAGGTTTATTCCTAGGTATTTTATTCTTTTTGATGCAATTGTGAATGGAATTGTTTTCCTGATTTCTCTTTCTGCTAGTTCATCATTAGTGTATAGGAATGCAACAGATTTCTGTGTGTTAATTTTATATCCTGCAACTTTTCTGAATTCAGATATTAGATGTAGTAGTTTTGGAATGGATTCTTTAGGTTTTTTTTAAATATACAATATTATGTCATCTGCAAACAGGGACAGTTTGACTTCTTCCTTACCAATCTGGATGCCTTTTCTTTCTTTGTGTTGTCTGATTGTCGTGGCTAGGACCTCCAGTACTATGTTGAATTAAAGTGGGGGAGAGTGGGCATCCTTGTCTTGTTCCTGATCTTAAAGGAAAAGCTTTCAACTTCTCGCTGTTAAGTATAATGTTGGCTGTGGGTTTGTCATATATGGCCTTTATTATGTTGAGGTACTTGCCCTGTGTACCCATTTTGTTGAGAGTTTTTATCATGAATGGATGTTGAATTTTGTTGAATGCTTTTTCAGTATCTATGGAGATGATGATGTGATTTTTGCCCTTCTTTTTGTTGATGTGATAGATGATGTTGATGGTTTTTGCATTCTGTACCATCCTTGCATCCCTGGGATGAATCCCACTTGGTCATGATGGATGATCTTTTTGATGTATTTTTGAATTCTGTTTCTAATATTTTGTTGAGTATTTTTGCATCTATGTTCATCAGGGATATTGGTCTGTAATTTTCTTTTTTTGTGGTGTCTTTGCCTGGTTTTGGTATTAGAGTGATGTTGGCCTTGTAGAATGAATATGAGAGTATTGCCTCCTCTTTCACTTTTTGGAAAACTTTAAGGAGGATGAGTATTAGGTCTTCACTAAATGTTTGATAAAATTCAGCAATGAAACCATCTGATCCAGGTGTTTTGTTCTTAGGTAGTTTTTTGATTACCAATTCAATTTCCTTGCTGGTAATTGGTCTATTCAGATTTTGTGTTTCTTCCTTGGTCAGCCTTGGAAGGTTGTATTTTTCTAGAAAGTTGTCCATTTCTTCTAGGCTATCCAGTTTGTTACCATATAATTTTTCATAGTATTCTCTCATAATTCTTTGTATTTCTGTGGTGTTGTAGTGATTTTTTCTTTCTCATTTCTGATTCTATTCATGTGTATAGACTTTCTTTTTTTCCTGATAAGTCTGGCTAGGGGTTTATCTATTTCGTTCATTTTCTCAAAGAACCAGCTCCTGCTTTCATTGATTCTTTCTATTGTTTTATTCTTTTAGATTTTATTTATTTCTGCTCTAATCTTTATTATATCCCTCCTTCTACTGACTTTGTGCCTCATTTGTTATTCCTTTTCTAGTTTCATTAATTGTGAATTTAGACTGTTCATATGGGAATGTTCTTCTTTCTTGAGGTGGGCTGGTATTGCAATATGCTTTCCTCATAGCACGGCCTTCACTGTGTCCCACAGATTTTGTGGCATTGAATTATTGTTGTGATTTTTCTCAATATATTGCTTGATCTCTTTTTATTTGGTCATTGATCCATTGATTATTTAGGAGCATGTTATTAAGTCTCCATGTGTTTGTGGGCTTTGTCATTTTCTTTGTGTAATTTATTTCTTGTTTCATACCTTTGTGATCTGAGAAGCTGGTTGGTACAATTTACTGGGTTCTTTTTGTGGCCTAGTATATGATCTATTCTTGAAATGTTCCATGTGCACTTGAGAAGAATGTGTATCCTGTTGCTTTTGTGTGAAGTGTTCTGTGGATGTCCGTTAGGTCCTTCTGTTCTAATAGGTTGTTCAGTGCCTCTGTGTCTTTACTTATTTTCTGTCTGATTGATCTGTCCTTTGGAGTGAGTGGTATGTTGAAGTCTCCTAAAATGAATGCATTGCATTCTATTTCCCCCTTTAATTCTGTTAGTATTTGTTTCACATATGTAGGTGATCCTGTGTTGGGTTCATAGATATTTATAATAGTTATATCCTCTTGTTGGACTGACCCCTTTATCATTACGTAATGTCCTTTGTTGTTTTTTTGTTTTGAAGTCTAATTTGTCTGATTCAAGCACTGCAACTCCTGCTTTTTTCTCCCTATTAGTTGCATGAAATATCTTTTTCCATCCCTTTACTTTCAGTCTGTGTATGTCTTTGAGTTTCAAGTGAGTCTCTTGTAGGCAGCATATAGATGGATCATGTTTTTTGTCCTTTCAGTGACTCTATGTCTTTTGATTGGTGCATTCAGACCATTTACATTTAGGCTGATTATCGATAGGTATGTACTTATTGCCATTACAGGTTTTAGATTCCAAAAGTTTAGGTTACCAGAAGTTCAGTGGTAATTCCCTTACTATCTAACAGCCTAATTTAACTCACTTTGTATGCTATTACAAACACAACCCGAAAGTTCTTTTTTTCCTCCTTTTTCTTCCTCCTCCATTCTTTATATGTTAGGTATCATATTCTGCACTCTTTGTCTATCCCTTGATTTACTTTTGGGGTAGTTGATTTGATTTTGCATCTGCTTAGTAATTAATTGTTCTACTTTGCTGTGGTTTTATTTCCCCTGGTGACATCTATTTAGGCTTAGGAATACTTCCATCTATAGCAGTCCCTCCAAAATGCACTATAGAGGTGGTTTGTGGGAGGTAAATTCTCTCAGCTTTTGCTTATCTGGAAATTGTTTAATCCCTCCTTCAAATTTAAATGATAACCTTGCCAGATAGAATATTCTTGTTTCGAGGCCCTTCTGCTTCATTGCATTAAATATATCATGCCAGTCCCTTCTGGCCTGTAAGGTTTCTGTTGAGAAGTCTGATAGCCTGATGGGTTTTCCTTTGTATGT